TTTAATATTATTTTAGTAATAATTTATTAAGGGAATAAACTTAACTTTTTTTATAAAGTAAAAAGTATTTTAACTTAATACTTTTTATTTTTTATTATATAATTTAATTATTATAATAGTATATTTACTAGATTATACTTGCCTAGCTTATACTTTATTTTAAAGTTATAAGTTATAAGTAATTTTATTTATTATACCTACCTTTAATTTAAAACCTTTATTATAAAAAAATAATATAGGTTATTATAATTATATTACACATGTATAAAATATAAAAAGCCCTTAAAATAATAATATTACTTTTTAAAGCATTTAATTATTATAAATAATTTTTAATTATAAACCTTATAGTAAAGCTTTAATTTATATAATTAATAAAAATAAAAGGCTATGGGGTGCTACTAATTTTATTTTTTTTTATTAAGTAATTTTTTTTACTTTAGCTACATAATAATTTTAGTAATAATAAACCTTAATATATTAATAATAATAAAAATCTTTTTTTTAGGATTAAAGTGCTGTAGTACTAGCAGCCTAGTAAAGTTTAATTTTATTTTTTTAAATATATTTTTTATATTAATAAAAAATAAAAAAGGTTTACTTTTATATTTCTTTACCATTTTTATTAAAAGCTAGGTTATTAAACATGTTACTTTAGTATAACTAAAAATAAAATATTAAAAATAATTTATAAAGCCTAAAAAAACTTATAACTTATAAAATAATATTAATTTTAATTAATTAGTAATAATCTAGCTGTGGTCCGGATTAATAAATATTTTTTTTTATTTAATAATAAAGCCTAAAAACTTTACCTTTTTTTTATAAAAACTATATTTTAATAATTTTATATATAAATTATGCCTTTTTAATTAATTAAGGACTTTTTAAACATAATATATATGTTTTTTTTTATCTTAAAAAAAATAAGAATGTTATTAAGGTAAATAATATAAAATTTATTAAGAATCCCACTTATAATTATATTTATATAAAATTAAAATATAGCTAGTATATTTATTAAGCTAAAGGGCATAATTATATACTTATAATAACTATAATAGGTTTAAAATACTATTTTTTACTTATTTCCCCTTTTAATTTATATTTTATAATACGCGTCACGTAGATCTAGCTTAATAAAATATTAAGTATTTACTAGCTAATTTATTAGCTTGTTAATATATAGTAATAAATAATAATTCTTATTAATTATTATATTTAAACCGCGGTAGTTAATATAAAAATATAAAAATTTATTAGGTTTTTAAATAAAAAGTATTAATACTCTAGCATTACTTTAAAATAGCTTAATTTATTTTTTTTAAATATTTTATTAAAATATTTTTTTAATATTTATAACTTATATTAAAAAAGACTATAAATAAAACCTTATAAAAATTTTTTATTTTTTTTAATAAAATTTTATGCTTTACTTTGCTGGTTAAAAGTTAAGTAACTTTTTATTTAAAAAAAACTTTACTTTAGTAAATATACTAGGGTGGCAGGACCACCTTTATTTTTTTTTTAATTTTTTTTAATTAATAAAATATTATAAGTACTAGTTTCTTGCGTATAGTTTTTATAAACTTTTATAATATTTTAATTTTAATAAAAAATATATAGTTTTATTAGGTTTATTTTACTATAATAAGATAAAAATTTAAATTTAATTTAATTATTTAAAAATATTTTAAGACTACTTAATAGTTTTTATAAGTAAAATTAATAATATAATATACTAARTTAAATATTTTTATAACTTTTTTTAAATTATAAACCTAAGTACGGGCTTGCAAACGCTTATAATAAAAAGTAAAAATAYTATTAGTATATTAAACTAGCTATATTATATAATTAGTATTTATTTTAATATCTTGCTTTTATAAATATTAAATTAAAATAAAATTAATATTAGCCCTAGTATTAAGTAATATTTTAAATTATTAATTTACCCTATTTTTTTATATCCTAAAATCTGCAAGAATAAGGAAAGTAATCTTTTTTTTTAAATTATATAACTTTAATAACTTAAAACTAGGGGATTACTATTTATTTTTTACTAGTTTTTTTTAAGTTTTTTTTTATTTAAACAGGCCTTTAACAAGTGGCCTAATTTATTATAATTAAAATAAAAACCCTTCTTTTTATAATACTTTTTTTTTTAAAAAAGTAAGTTACTACTTTTTTTTACCTTTTTTTTTTTTTTTTTTAAGAAAGCTGCTCCGCCGCTATTTTAGTTTTATTTTAAGTTATTTTTATTTTTTTTATTTTTAAAATTAAAACTAGCTTTAGACTTTTTTTTTTCTTGGCCTTTAAGGCCTTATTATACTTATTAATAAATTTTATATAAATTACTACTATATTTACTTTAATTATAATTTTTAGGGGTTTTTTTAATTTTTTTAAGTATAAATAAATATTTTTATTATAAGTTTTAATAAGTACTTGCGCC